TCTTTTATGAGAGGCAGGAACCTGCTTCACAATGTCCCATCAAGACGCACAATGGAGTAAGACAGATCCCCAGAATGAAACTGAGTCCTGCTAGGAAGTAGGAATCAATACTGGGAAGCTAAACAATGGCAGATATCTACTTCAGCCAAAACTGCTGTCCCCTGACCGACAGGGCCAAGACTGTCTAAGGTATAAAATTTAAGGAGACAGAGTCTCATATACTGACCCTTTACTTAAGAGATCCTGAAAGAATCCTTCAATTTTGCCCTCTGTGTGACCACTTTGTCTTTCCCTAAGTCTGACCTTTGACCAGAAGCCTATTTGTCATTCCTGTGCCAAGCAAGACAGTCCATAGACTTTGAAAGCCCAGCATGATTAAGACTGTACCAATTATCTTCCACTCCCCAGTCTCATCCTTGTATGTTTCCTGACACAATGACTGCTCAGGCCAGAATCCTGGAATTGGCTTTGACATTGCCCTCCTCTCCCTCTGGGTCTGAGCAGCATCCCACTATGTATCACCCAGACATTGAGCCACCAGCATCTTTCCCTTGACATCAGCATGCGACCTGTCTTCCAAGTTCTGGTTTTCTGTCCTCTGTTTTGTCCTTAACATGGTCAGAATAATTTTTCCAAGTGTGATTTACAGCATAGTTCTCCATAATGAGCCCACCTACATCAGGCCTTCTATGCCACACCCCAGCTACAGAGATCTTCTCTGCCACACTCCAGCTACAGTGCTCATTTCATGGTTACTCAGCCCCTACATGTGTCCAGGCCTGCTCAACATGCCTTTCCCACACCCATAGCCAATTTATTCTTCAGGTAACAATTCCTCAAAGAAGAGCTCACAGTTCACGTACCCACAACACAGAATTACACTTTCACAGCACTTAGCATCGACTGGAAACAAGTCTCATCAGACACAAGCATTTACTGTGCAAGCTTGGGGACCTGAGTTCAAATTCTCAGCTCCCATGTAAAAAGCCAGGCATGGCCATAAGCCCTTCTATAACTCCAGAGCTCAGGTTGGGAGAGATAAGGTCCCTGGGACTTACTAGTCACCAGCCTAGCTTCAGCTTCCTTGAGAGACCCTGACTCAAAATAACAACACAGTGAGTGATAGAGCAGGACACCCTATACAATGTGCTCCTGCACCAACACACACACACACACACACACACACACACACACTAAATTTTTAAAACCACTCATTAGATTTTTTTTAAAGTACTTGTTTACTGTGTTTGTTAATGTTAACTTGATGAGCTCTAGAATCATCCAGAAGGTGAGCCTCTGGGCATGCCTGGAGGAGATTATCTTGATTTAGGTTAACTGAGGTGGAAGATCTCTGCCCACTGTGGGCAACACCATTCCCTGGCCTGGGATCCTGGACTGTATAACAGGAGAAAGTGATGTAACCCAGGTTGATGATATAGTGGGGCGCTTGACCAGCATGTGTGAGGCCTGGGGTTAGTTCTGAGCACTGCAAAAGCAAACAAAAACAATGACTTAACAAATATTCTATCAGTCATTAGTTGATTGTAAGTCACATAAACTGTTTTAAAATGTTTATTGAACTTATTTCCATTTTAGGTTGCAAAGCATGTGCATATATTTAAACAGTAAACTTAATGCAAAGCGGAGGGGGGGTTAGAATCAGCTAAGCATAAGCCCATCACGTTCTGCTTCCTGCAACAGCTAGCTGCCTCCAGCTCCCACTGCCATGACTCCTGATCAGTATGAACCATAACCTCCAGCTTGCCATGAACCAAGAGAAATGCATTCTATTTGAAGTTGCTTTTTTTTTAATTTTCTTTTACTTTAGATTTATTTTGTTATCTTTTAAAGTTGTATGTCTCTACTTGTTTGTGTGGGGTATGTACATATGAGTTCAGGTGCCCTCAGAGGACAAAGCTGTTAGGTACCTAGATCAAAAGTTACAGGTAGTTGGGAACTGCCGAAGGTGGACTCTGGGAACTAAACACAGACCCTCTGCAAGACCAGAATGCACTCCTAACCACTGAGCCATCTCTCCAGCTCCCAAAGTTGCTTTCTTCGGGGTATTATTTTTTTTTTCAAAACAGAAGGAAATGTAGCTAAAACACTCAGTCCTTTCTGACTGCTTACAAACTTCTTAAGTTGCTTCTCATAAATGTGATGAACATTCGCAGGAAAAATCAGCCCTCTAACCACCCCCACTCGCCATAGCGCCCCCTGGAGGCTGTTCTAGAGCAGACAGGCACACAGGGGACCAGGCGTCTCTCCCTCTGCGCATGTGCACCTTCCCTGGACCTGTTTATTTGCTCTCTGCCTGTCCTTGTAGAGTTAAGGTATAATTCATGGCCCACTACCTTCAGTACCCTGCAGAGACAGGGAAGAAGGGAACATCCCTGTCAAGTGTCATATGGTTCATAGGGCCCCGGGGGGGGGCTGTGGGTGCCTCTGGAGATGAAACAGGTGCTGGAGCTCCAGAATTGTGGGGGGAGGGGCAGCATGTGAACCTCCTTTGGAAGGCAGGGAGGGGTTTTGTTAACCCAGAAACCCTTTCTTGTTTGGAAAGAAAAAAGAATAAATAAAAGGAAGGGAAATGGGGAAGTGAGGAGAGGGGAGGGGTGGGGAGGGGAGGAGAGGAGAGGGGAGGAGAGGAGAGGAAGGAAGAATGGAAGGGAAAGGAAGGGGAGGGAGAGAAGGGAGGGGAGGGGAAAGAAGGGAGGGAGGGGAGAGAAGGGAAGGGAAGGAGAGGGGAGGGAAGGGGAGGGAGGTGAGGGGAGGAGAGGGGAGCGGAGGAGAGGGGAAGGGAGGGAAGAGAAGGGAAGGGAAAGGAAGGGAAGGGGAGGGGAGGGGAGGGGAGGGGAAGGGAAGAGGAAGGGAAGGGAAGGAGTTTTTCCAGTCTCAGGACCTCCTCCAGCCACACTGGTTAAACTGTCCAGTCTTCCCCAAATGCCCCTTCCTCCTCTCCCATCTTCGTCTGTGCTGTTCATCTGTTCAGCAAGCACTTGCTCAGCTCCTCTCTCACCTGGGTTCTGGTTAAGAAAGAAGAGACTTGGCTTTGTTCCTCAGACACAGTCTAGCATTACCTACACCAATTACTGACGGGTTTCATCTCCAGAGGCACCCACAGCCCCCTGGGCCCCTATGCATGGAGAGAAAGACATGGAAGGAGCGTTGTTTGTGAGAACAGTAGCAGAAGATACTGATACAGCTCTGGAGTTGGAGAAGGCTTCCTGCAAGCCATGACTTACATCTTTCCTTTAGAGGAGAAAGCCCTACTGAGTGTTCAGGAATGAGATGGTGATGGTGAAGCCCTCTACAGCTCCCCCAACGGACCATCATTCCCTCATCTAAGATCTGTAGCTGCTCAACCATAGAGACTAACAGTTCCAGGGAAAAGGATCACCGTCTCCCACCAGCCTGTGCTCAGTCTTCCTGCAAAAGGGCTACTCCTGGATCTCAGATACCTCTTATTCGTTTTACGGCTCCAAGGCTGTGTTAGATACAGGAGGATGCTAAGGAAGCTTGAGTGAATTCCAATGTAAATCTACTCCAAAATTCAAGGTATTTTATTTTTTAAGTGCGGGCTGGGAATGGTGACTCACACTGGTAATCCCAGCATTCCCAAGGCTGAGGCAGAAGGATGCCCTTGAGTGCAAAGTCAATCTGAAGTACAGGGTAAGAGCAAGGCCAGCCTGGGCTACAGAGTGACCCTGTCTCGATAAATAAATAAATAAATAAATAATAACTGAGGTCCTAGACATTTAGGTTGATGAGGGCACCCATGTATTGCTCCCAGCTCCCAGTCCAGCTCAGGTTAGTGCAGCACCCAACCTTCATCAGAGACGCTGGAACTGCAGAGGGCAGCAGTTAAATCAGAAACCCATAACCGGGCAAAGTGCAAAGTGCGGAGAGTAGTGATGGTGGGGCGCTCAGCCTTAAGTGAGACAGTTATTTCACCCCCCTCAGGGCCCAGGAAACACCACACAAGAGGAGGCAGGAAGAACCTAAGAGCCAGCGATGGCGAGACGTGGAACAAAAAGAGGCTTTTGACCATGACAGCCATTGCGTCCATGGACTCCCTGTAGCTGTGGTAAAATGTGCACGACTTGTACAAGATTAAGCCTGTCAACACCTAACCATGGCTGGCAGAGGTTCCCTGAATCCTCACCTCTCCCTTACGGTTTATTGGCAATTGCCAGTTGCTGGAGGGGAAAGGTGTCATTTTCCTGAGTGCTGTGGCTGTTAAGTTGTCTTTGCTCCGGTAAATAGTCTCCCAGCCTCACTCAGGCAAGAAACTCTAAACCCAATGAGTCAGAAACAAAAAGAAGACATCAAAGCAGGAGGGAGATTGCTGAGAAGTGTTTCAGTGGGAGAGGGAAGGGAATGAGAGAGAGAAATAGAGGTGAAAATGACGACAATTAGCTCTCCAAGTGTATAAAACTGTCAAACAAGAAAATTTTAAACTGAGATCTTGTCTCAAAAAAAAAAAAAAAAAGAAAAGAAAGAAAGAAAAGAAAAGGAAAACTATCACAGAGAAAAATGGGCACTTATTTCACAATTAGCAGCACAAATGTGTTCTTGCTTCTTCTGTGGGATAAGGCTCTTGTACACTGTAAAGATTTGTCACTCATATTGGTTTAATAAACCACTGATTGGCCAGTAGCCAGGCAGAAAGTATAGGCAGGGTGATTAGACTAGGAGAAATCTGGGAAGAGAAAAGGCAGAGACATAGTCACCAGCCAGATGCAAAGGAAGCTAAGCATTGATAAGAATTAGGGGTCTGGAGAGATGGCTCAGAGGTTAAGAGCATTGCCTGCTCTTCCAAAGGTCCTGAGTTTAATTCCCGGCAACCACATAGTGGCTCACAACCATCTGTAATGAGGTCTGGTGCCCTCTTCGGACCTGCAGCCATACACACAGAATATTGTATCTATAATGAATAAATAAATATTTTTTTAAAAAAAGAATTATAGGTTAATTTAAGTAGCAAGAGCTAGTAAGTAGTCCAAGGTGAGTCTCTCTCGAAGGGGCTGACTAGCGCCCCTTTCAGGAACATAGCAATTTGGAAGCAAGTCCGGCATGCCTGAGGTCTCTGGAGAACAAGGGATGCTTTTGGCCTCTGCCTGCCTTTGGCTGCTTACATGTTTTAAAAGAGAGTTAGTTAGTAATAGGCCTGAGCAGTAAACTAAACAGTTTGTAATTAATATGAGCCTCTGTGTGTTTATTTGGGACTGGACAGCTGTGGAACCAGGCAGGACAGAAACTCCTATCTACAGGTTCCTTCTAGGTTGTTGTCTTTTTTTTCCCCTAAAACAAACAAAGAACCTCTTCTAGTTAGTTTGCATGTATTTGTTATATTATTAGTAAAACATAAACCTGTATGAAAATTCTTGAGCTGCCACTGAAGTAACTGATCATAAAAGGCCTTCTCTTGGTTTTATGAGGCACATCTGTAATTTCTCTGTGCGTGCAAAGTCTGGCTGTCACAGTGACTGAAGCAGTGTGGTTTCTCACTTCGAATTCACCTTTTTATGATGTGGTCTACCTCGGTGGGCAGCAACACTTAAAGGCTGGCAGGTGGATTTTCAAATACAGGAGTAGAGAGAACTCGGTGAAACACCATCTCTCAGACATAAGCACACCTATTCCCCGTTCTCCTCCCAAGTGGCTGATAATGAGATGGGACCAGAACTAAACCTCCTGTGGTTTGGTACCACTCTGTGTAAAAAAGGTGCTTTGGCCCTTCCCTTGTCAGTTTCCTCCTTCTGGAATATTTCCTCCTCTTCCCCCCCCCCAGTTGATGTATAGTTATTATACATTGTGAAAGCCTTCATAAAGACATGGTCATGAAAGTAAGACCTCAAGTCAGTGAACTCTAGCACATTTACTACCACACCCTACTCTTCCTCTCACTTTTTCTCCACCTCTGCTAGTCACCTTCCTTTCTAAAGGTATATATGTGTGTGACTTTTATTTATTTATATAAAATCTATGATCCACAAATGAGAGAAAACATGCAGCTTCCAAAATCACACTTATTTTACTGACTGTGATGGTCTCCAGTGGCAGCCATTTTCCCGAGAGTGACATCATTTCATTCTTTTTACGGCTGAATAAAACTCCACTGTGTACACACCACAGTCTACTTGCCCAATTGTTGAAAAATTGGGCTGGTTCTAACTTGGCTTTTGTATGGCTTCAGAAACATGAATGTACAAGTATCTCTGTGATGCGCTGACTTACAGTTTTCTAAAAACATACTCAAGAGTAGTTGAGCTGGGCAGTGGCAGCACATGCACTTGGGAGGCAGAGGCAGGCAGATCTCAGTGAATTTGAGGCCAGCCTGGTCTACAAAGAGAGTTCTAGGACAGTCAGGACTATTACACAGAGAAACCCTGTCTCAAAAATCCAAGAAACAAAGAGAACGGTATGGCTTAGGCATGTGGTAGTTTGTGTCTCTACTCATCCCCTGTGCACCCTTTAAACCCTTCCTCAAACATAGCCTCATTTACTTTCCCAATGGTGTACTGTTAGAATTTTGCAGAGGCTAGGAACCGTATCAGTAGCAAACTAAGAGAAGAGCAGGGCATCTAGTCACTTCTCCTAAATGTGTTCCTCCATGTTAGGCTTGTCCAAAGTGCATGGGCATGGTGGTTTGAAAGAAAATGGTCCCCAAAGGGAGTGGCACTATTAGGAGGTGTGGTCTTGTTAGAGAGGGTGTGGCCTTGTTGGAGAGGGTGTGGCCTTGTTGGAGGAAGTGTGTCACTGTGGAGGTGGGCTTTGAGATCTCATATATGCTTAAGTCACACCCAGTATCTCAGCCAACTTCCTGTTGTCTTCTGATCAAGATGTAGACAGCACCATGTCTGTCTGCACGCCACCTTGTCCCATCATGATGATAATGGACTAAACCTCTGGAACTGTAAGCCACCCAATTAACCGTTTTTCCTTTATAAGAGTTGCAGTGGTCAAGGTATCTCTTCACAGCTCTAGAAAGTGTTGTGTCCATCTCTCTTCAGCTTCTGCCCAGCAGAGAAAATCGTAATGCCTGGAAACCAAGTGGCTATAGAAAACCCTACAATTCAGCTGTAGTTTAGAAACCAATTGATTTTTGCTTTATGAATCATTTGCAATGAATTTGAGCCTTTCTTCCTGAACACCCACAGCACTTTGCCTGTGACAAAAGACCCGACAGGGGCAGCTTGAAGAGGCAAGGTCTTAATGGGGCTCGCAGTTTAGAAGGTACAGCCTGCCAGGGTAGAGGAGCATGGTGGCAGGGGTTGGGGGTGGAAGGTGAGTAAACCATGGTGAGAAAGCAGGGCAGCTGACTTGTGAGCTAACTAGTCACCTCAGCTCCAAAATCAGGAAGTCGTGAGATGCATGCTCACATTCCACCGGCTTTCTCCTTTTTATTCAGCCAGCCCCAGCCCAAAGAGTGGTGTTGCCCACATTTACAGTGGGGGTTAAGCCTCCAACTGTCACACCCATAGGCTTGTCTGTAAGATGTTTGTAAATCCTAAACAACTGACAGCTGAGATTGACCACTATAACCGGTGTGCATGCCCTGTTCTCCACAGTGACTACTCACTGTGTTCTCCCCCATGCACACACACACACACACACACACACACACACTTTACATGAGGAAGCCAAAGCTCCTTGGATTGTTGCATTTTTCACAGTAAGAAAGCTCTCTTTCCAACCTAAAGGAGAATGCTATTAAAGAAAGGAGGTGAGTGAAATGAAAATAAAATGGTCATGAAAGAGAGGCAAATGATCAGTGAAGGAATGGACTTTCACTGAGTATTGAGCAATGCAAGACCATAATCATCAAAGATGTTTGCAATGCTGCTAAAATTCCTGAAGACTGGGTGCCTTAATTTCTTTTTGTATTTTTCTCGATGTTAGTCAATTAACAGGTGGAATTTTTAAATTAAAAAAAAAAGCGATCCACTTTCAAGCTCAGCATAACCCCTCTTCAAGGCCACCATACCTTGCTAATGATTTGCATAGTAAAAATAAAACGTGATTTTTATATATTTTTTAAGACTAGAAAAGTGTTGCTTCAAAAGTCTTTACCATAGAGGAAAACAAGCAAAGGTGGGGCTCATTTTAATAAAGGAGAGAGAGAGAAGAATCTTTACCAAACTCTAGGCCGTTACCTTTTTCTTTTGTATAGCCAAGTGGATAAGTTCACCTAAGCTGCTGACTTATTGCCAAAGCTGACCAGAGGACAGAAACATAAGCTATCCCAACCCCTAGCAGAACAGAGTCTGCACTGCTGAAGTGAGGGGATCAATAAAAGGTCCAGCAGAGAAGAGAGACCATGGGAGGGGAGACAGCAGTCAGTACCAAAAGGATCATGGCCTGGGCTTGGAAGCTTAGCTCTCCCCATCACTGCCATGGACTTGAGTCTGTTTCTTCTCTGAACACTTCTTTTGAAAGGGGGTGGACAAAGTGAGAGATTCAAGGGTATGAGGAACACTTACACGAAATGAAACGGTTAACTGTGCTGTTATAGATCATGGGGCTTTTATTCCTGGAAAGATTGAGGTAGAGTTCATAATCCCAGGTTGTGAAAGTGTGATGCCACCTACACACATCGGCAAACTCAGAGGGAGGGCACTTCTGGCTCAGGCGTATATGATTCACAACATGTAATCTAAGACTACTAATTCTATTTCGTATGGCATTGACCCAGACATGAAATTCAGAACTTGGGTTCCTTTCACTGATAGGAATCAAACCCAGGGCCATGTGCCTGCTAGACATGGGCTCTATGTGCTGTGCCACTGAGCTAGAGTTCCAACCCCTTCAAGTCTTCAACAATTTCAAGTAATAGTAACACCAGTTGTAGGCAGACTTTTCTATCTCTGCCAGTCAGTCCCCAAATAACCACATAGAGATTAATACTAATTATAAATGTTTGGCTGATAGCTCAGTCTTGTTAACAGCTAACTCTTACATTTTAAATTAATTCATGCTTCTTATCTACCCTCTGCCATGTGGAGGTACCTTTCAGCATGCCAAGTTCATTTTGCTTCTCTCTGAGTCTCTCGGGACTTCCCACTTCTTCCCCACATCCTCCTACTGGATCTCCTGCCCAATCTCTTCCTGCCCAGTGATACAGTCAGCCTTTATTAACCAAAAAGAATGCCACATCTTCAAAGTGAACAAAAGGATTATTCCATCTCAACTAGCAATAGAGGTGATGCAGTTAATCATGTGTTGGTCACATTAGTACTTACCGACATTACAGAGGGAGAGATTCCCATCTTAAACACGAGTAGCTGCTAATTGAAGGTGTGACCTACTCACTGTGGAGGCCCACAGAAGTGGATCTCTTCCATCTTGACTAAAGGTCAGAGAGTTCAGACCTATTCTTGTTCCATCAAGGTTAAACAACAAGATGTTTGACCTCAGATGTGGCTACTGGATGCCTTACTCCTTAAAGGCCAGTCAACAGGATGTTTTGACTTAGAGTGTAGTTATCAGGTGTTTAGAGATGAAAGGTGGTAATCATGCTTGCTTGTTCTTTATATCAGGGAAGTTTTGTGCCCTACCTTTTTTTGGGGGGTGTATAAGACTTTGAGTAATAAACTTGGGGCTGATCACAGTACTCACTGGATGCCCTCCCAACTCTATCTTCTGCTTCTCGACTATTTCTTTCCTCAATCCTTACCCCCTTCTCAGGAATGTACTGACCTGTAGGGCCAGACCCAACATTCACTGACCCCTTTGGGCTCTCTCAGCCCATGACAGTGTCCTAGATTAACATTGTTGGCTTTTTCTACCCATTACTCACTCTGCTGTCCCTTCTCCTTTTCTAGGACAAAAAGCACATTCTTCTCACTTCTGTCAGAAGGAATCATGACTATTTTTTTTTTGTTTCCAATGTCCTCACGAGCTCTTGTATCACAAACTGTTTACCAGGTGTTTCCGTTAAGCAAAATAGTTATGTTCCTGAGATTTATGGTGCTGCTATAGAGACAACTTTTAGGATTTGTTTCTGTTTTGTTTTCATTTTATTATACATATACACAGAGGCTATGCTGCATAGCAGTAAGGGATGTTGTGGCGATGTATACCTTGTTTAGTTTACTTCAGAAAAAAATATATATTTAAATTCAATAATTTCCTATGTG